AAAATAACCAATAAGATAAAAAAATAAAATAAATTTATTTTTAGATTAGCATCTTACATTTTTCTTAGCATCCTCCTACTGTAAACAAGTAAAATGGATTTTATTTCATCCCTAGTTATTTTATGCAAATAAATAAATATAATAACAGTTATTAAATATAATATAAAAATAAAATTTGAAAAACAATAAGTTTTTAAATGTTAATAATAGCTGTAGTATCTCTATCAAAACATTCAAAATCGCAACCCTTGACTGATTTTGGAACAACGACTCTTTTTAAGTTTTTGCACTTATGAAAGGTGCCTTCGGATATAGAATCTAAGCTTGATGGGATATTAATAACACTTAAATTTTTGCATTTAACAAAGCAACCAGCTCCCAAATGATACAGACCGACTGCCAATGACACTTTCATTAATTTCTCACAGCCAGCAAAACATGTTTGTCCAATATTAATAACACTACTTGGTACATCAATTTCAGTTAGACTTTTGCACATATTAAAGCAGTCGTCTTTGATATCTGAAACTCCATTTGGAATTTCTATATTTACAAGACTTACACAATTGTTAAAACACGCTGTTGAAAGTGTTTTAATTTTATTTGAAAGTTCCACTTTTGTCAAATTGTTGCATTCTAAGAAACAGCTTTTCTTAATTGAAGTGACTGAATTTGGAATTTTAATGCTAGAAAGACTTAAACATTGTTTAAAGCACTCCCTGCCAATAGATAAGACATTTTCTGAAATAAAAACAGTGTTCAAAGAGGTACAATCAGCAAAACATTCATTACCAATATACTTGACTCCCTTTGGTAATGTAATGCCAGTCATTTTTATACATTCATGGAAGCAAAGTTCTGGCAGAATCGACACATTTTCTGGCAATTTAACACGTGTCAAATTAATACAACTGCCAAAACAATCAACACCAATATAAGTCACAGTATCTGGAATTTCTATTTCTTTCAAGTTGTTGCATTTCTCAAAGCACAGTGGTCCTAAGTATTGAAGACCTTTGGGGAGCTTGATTTGCTCCAATTTACAGCAATCTTGGAAACACATTCCTTCAATCATTTTGACTCTATTTGTGAACACAATCTGACTTAAATTGTCACATCCTCTAAACCCATAATAGCCAAGTGAAGTCATCCCTTGTGTTACTTGAAAAGTCTTGATGTCTTTATTACTACCAAAACAATCATCTCCAAGAGAAACGACTTCTTGTGGGACTTCATTTCCATATTTCTCTTGATCGTCTTTGGTGTAAGTGATATATTTATAATGAATTGTCGGATTATCATTGTTTTTAAAAGTGCTGTAAGTCACTCCAAACCAGACGTTCACGGCTTTAAAAACGATTTTTGGTGTTGTCGGTTCTTCTTTGTTTTCTTCTTGTTGTTTTTCTTTATTATCTTCATCATCTGAGTCGTTGTAGTTGTGACAACATTCATCTGAGTCTCCACAATTATTGTTTTCTGTTGCTTCTTTGTGAACAATTTCATTACCAAAAGTCTCATCATCTTTTTCATAGACATTAAGAATTTCTATATTGGGAAAGTACCTCTTTGTTGTTAAAGTCAAAGGTATTGGATTGTATTTAAATTTCTCCATCATACTTTTAAACTTCTTACAAACAGATTCTAAATTAACAAAATCTTGAATAGATTCAAAGAATTTGGCTACAATTAAATAATTAAAGTCATTTAAATGATTAGACATGTATGAATTGATTTATTAAATAGAGATTGGCATTAAATAACTATAAAATGTGTAGTTTTTTAATTGTTTTGAAACTTATTGATTTATTTAAACTTTTAAAGATTATTTGTGTAGTATATAATTCTATTGTTTTAAATGGTTTAATTTAGATATAAAGATCTCATAAAAATTGTGTAACAACATAATCTTTAACATTCTTTTGTAGAAATACTTGAACAACAACATAAAATAAACTTCAAAATAAATTTTAAACTTCAACTTTGAATTATGACAAAATATAAAGGTGTGTTTTTTAATTGATTTGATAAATTTGAAAAATAACACAAATTATTCAATATTTAGTAATTATGAGGTACCAGAAACTTATTAAGTTTTTTTTGAAATGAAATATATTGGAAAACGTTTTTATATAAACCATTATCAAAACAAAAAAAACAAATAAAAAAACAAAAAGTATATATGAATTATTACATCAATCAAACATAAAATATCTCAAAACTCATTAAATACTCCATCTGTAATAAATTCCAATTGTATTTAAAAATGTTTAACAATTGTTAAATCATATTAATTAATTATTTTGATATATATATTAAAACATATTCATTGTATTGTTATATTATGTATATATAAATACTACAAATAGCAAGTTACAAATTTATAGTTAATTTTTTAGTTATAAATACATACTATTAATTCAATGTGTGTAATATATTTAATATTGGGATTACAAATCCCAAAAAACCAACCGACAAAATTTAATTTATAGTATATTATAGTTTTTTGTTTTTTGTCTTATGTCTTTTTTTTCAAAATTTTTATTGAAAAAACTATTAAATGGGTTTCAAAAACCATTTTTATAGTTTGCCGGTCGGTTTTTCTCTGTAGTCTGTAATAAGTTTGATTAAAAAGTACGAATATACACAATCAAACCTTTATTACCGCTGTACAGAGAACTTTAATTTTTAGTTTTTAGTCTCAAAAAATGCCCGTTCTTCAGAGGTACCGCTTTATAATGGTTTTTCTGTATATATTTAAAAAAATTAAAAATACAATTGATACTATTATTAATAACAATGCAATCATAAAGTAAATTAAATTATTTAATTTGTTTAATTCGCTTTAAGTTTGAAAAACTATTTCAAATTACATCAAATTATATTAATTTCATGTTTTATAAATAAAGTCCACATAAATACTATATAAAGTCAAGACTCATAAATGCAAAACACGAATAATAACTCAAAAAGACCATGAAGACTACCCGTCTTGAGATGGTATATCAAGTTAATGTTGTGTTGTATATCGAAAAAGAAACTACTTTGAGAAATTATCGTCTTATTAACAAACGAGCACTTGAAGCAATTCGTTGTTTAAAAGTGAACCCACGTTCCATCTATTTAGGTTATAACTTCCTTTTTAATTTCTTTCCACATCTTAACACACTCACTGGGAATATGAACACTATAATTCACTCTTTGACACAAAAGCAGATGAATCAGATCACGTGGTTCGACTGCTCTAATGCTGAGATATCACCAGAAGCTTTTGATGATGCCATTCTGAGTAAAATCATCACTATTGCTATACAAATCGACAGTTTTAGTTATGTTCAAAAACACTGTCCAAATGTGAGAAAAGTAGTTGTGACAGTTTATGACGACGTCACATTTGAAAATATAAAATTTAAATGTTTACAAAAACTTGTAATTAAAAAATCTGTGAATGAAAAATTGTTAATTAAAATTTCTGATTTTGTTGCGACAAACCCCGACGTGGCTATTGGACTTTTTAATATAGAAAGGGACGAAGTGGACATCGACACAAATTCCAATGATAAATATCACAGAATATGCATTAAAGAACCCGTCGAAGACAAACAAAAAATAACATTCACTTCTAACATACAAAAATTTGAAGAAGAACAATTTCCATATTTTAAAATGCCAACTACAAACGTTAAAAGTTTTGATGAAAAGTATCTTAATTCACATGACATTAAAAAACATTCATATCTTTGTCCACATAACGTATATACGTTGTATACACTCAATATCACGTTTGATCGAAATTCAGTCAAAAACATTGACTTGACAAATTTATTTGGGTTGTTACAGTTTTCGGTCTTTTTTAAAAAGACTGTGGAAACGACTATTACAATGCCAAATCCAAGAAACGAGATTTGTAAACTTTATAAACTCGAAGTTGTCACGCCATCACCAAATAAAATATCATTTGTTGGGACGGATAGATGCACGCAATTACAAACAGTGAACATCAACTGCGCATTTTATAATATTGCACTTGATTTAAAGAATCGAGTACAGTTATTGTTGATTAACACAGGAAATGAAATTGCAAAAGTCGATTTTCGAAATGTGTTTGAATGTTATTATTGCGTGTTCCGCGGTCTTTTTGATGTTGAAGAAATCACACTCAGAAACGATATATTCGACTGTTTGTTATTACCAATACAAATGAAAAGTTTGCGTAAAGTCGTATTCCTTCTTTCGTCAAATAAAAAGGAATGTGTCAAGAGAAATGAAAAACAAAAACTTATAAATTGTGTTGGTCACCCTATTGAAATCGTGATGAAATAAAAATAATTGATTGTTAATTATTAAAATTGTTTTTGTTATTGTTATTTTAAATATGTTTTTATGTAAAACACACGTTTTGAACACTTTAATGTTATAAACAACGACCTTGTTTTTATTTTTACCTTTTTAAATGTTATATTCAGTTTTATTTTGTGGTTTTTAATAGCTTATGTCATAATACTATATTTTCAATTGTAATTATATTACAGTAAAACCTCCCAAGAGCAGTATCTCTGAAGAGCGGGTTCTTTCAAGAGCGGGCATTTTTAGCCAATCAAACCTTAAAAACCTTTCGATAGAGAACTTTATTTTTAGTTCTAGTTTAACAAATGCCTGCTCTTGAAAAAACCCGCTCTTCAGAGGTTTTACTGTATTATTATGTTTTTTTTTTCATTATGTGGTTTTTTGTTTCAAAAAGATAATTTAAATTATCGAACTATTAAAATATAATTAATTATAAACTGTTTTCCAAAACTCTGTACCTTTTCCAAAATTTATATAAACCCTTTGTCCTAATTTCCCGTTATTTACTATTTTTTATTTGTTTTATTTTCTATTTTCCTATTTGTTGAACCAACAACGGTACACAGTTTAAAACCCTTAAAAATCAATACAGTTTCAATTAATGAACCAAAAAATCGGGAAATCACCCAAATATTGGGTAAATCTTTCCCGATTTTCCAGGTTTGTTATTTGGTCAGTGGTTTATTTTGTAACTAAACTTGAGTAAAATTCTATATTTCTAACAAACATAAGATAAACGTAATATAACGATAAACTAATGATGTAATGAAGGACATTATTGCATCAAATGATACAACACTTAAATTAATAATAAGTTTTTGTTTATTTCAACAATTAAAAAAGTAATCGATAACATAAAACAAACATTTAAACAATCAAGGTTATTAATCAAAAGAGTCTAAAATAAAATAAACAGTTCAAAAATTAAAAAAAAAACTTTTCAATTGTATAGCCTTAACCAATTTATCTTTTCTCAATGCTTGTTTTACTCATTAGTACTTTTCATTTTTATCCAGAACACAACTTGGTGATTCTGTAAACATGGACATTTAATTATAAAGTTGTGTTTTATCTTTTTGGCAAAAATTGTGTTATGGTAATCATATTTTTGATCCCAAGTTTGTTTTTTATATTTTTCAAGTAAATTTTTGGTGCAAGATTTATTTGTCAAGTAAATTTAAATAAACTCAAGTTCGTTATTTTGTTTTTTCGAGTAAATATATATAACAAAAAAATGAGGGTTAAGCAAAGAAAAAATAA